GCTGGATCCAGTCTCGCATTCCAAGCCCCCACCCTGTCAGCATCCTGTCTCCACCAGACAATAACCTGTAATCTCCGGAGCAGCCGATACCCCGACCACAAAGAAGGTCTGGGAGGGCTAGCAGCAGCAGCTCCTGAAAACAGGTTTGTTAGGAAGGGGCTCTGGGGGAAAGGAGTTGTTTGTGTGGGGAGAGGAAGGAAACTCAAGCCCAGAGCTAATTAACCCACCCAGAGACACAGACAGAATCTTTGTCTTCTGAGAGGGCAGTGATCTGAACTAAGCCCCCTAATTCTCTACCCAGACAGCCTTGCTCTTCCTGGTGGGTCCCGGGGGAGGGGGGGGTACTGATGGTCAGGGTCATGCCTGAGGGAGGGGATACGATGGTATCCAGGGAGAGCATGGGGCACTTCCATCACCTGCCATCAAAGGAGATTAGCAGCAGGAGTCACTGGTTAGACTGCAAGAACTTCTCAGTGGCCGGGGGAGCACAGTTTCTTTGAAACACGTACCCAAAAGCCTCAGGATGGGTGTGGGAGGGGGTGAATGAGGAGGAACCAGCAACTCAGGGAGATACTGAAGGATGGGGACAGGCTAGAGGGCTTCCGGGCATCCTGATGGGACTGAAATTAATCCATCTGTGGGGAGTGGGGGGTGAGGCACTCATCAAGCCAGTGACTCAGGCGTGACCTGAGCTCAAGGTCTTTGATCTCCAGGGCCCAGAGTGCAGCCAGAGGCTTCCACAGTCAAAGATCAGGAGAGATGGAGGGACTGATTCGAACATGAGTTAGAGGAGGTCTGAGGGTGCAGAGTAGGAGGGCCTCAACCTGCCACTCTGACCACTACCCTCCCTCCCACTGAAAGGCACAGGGACATCTGGTACAGCCACAGCTGTCCCCATAATGTCTACCTTGCATTCCCCACCCAAGGTCCCTCTGGCCATTTCAGCAAGGCAGTCATTAAGTCATTTACCAAAACCCCTTCTCTCCCCTCCGATGGGTGTTCAGTGTCATGTTGCAATGGATGCTGGGGGCAGGGGGTGGGCCACTCTGCACTGATGGCTGGGTTGGTCCTGCCAGAGACAAGGGAGAGACTGGTTGGCTTTAGGAAGCCCTCCCCCCACTGCCTCCCAGCCAGCCTAGGGAGGCAGGACATGGCTGGCATCTTCCCATTTTTCAGTTGAGGACACCAGGGCACTGGGCAGAGGAGTGGCCGTGGGCCCAAGCATTTGTGGAATGCTCTTGCCGGGAAATGGCCTGTCTTCTCTGGGCCATCCTCCTGCCCACTCTAAAACATTAAGGCTCAGTCTCTCCTAATATCTGCTGCTGTCCTCAGCAGGGCGTGGGGGTGGGTGGTGTGAGATAGGATTTAGAGTCAGAAACCTGGAATCCGAACCCAGCTATGTGGCCTTGGGTATGTTACTTCATCTCTCTGAGCACCAGTATCCCAATTTGTAAAGTGAAGACTGATGCCATCATCACTCCCAGGATGGCAGGGGGGAGGGGATGCCGCCCCGGATGTGCAAGTGCTTTGTAGACAGCTCAGCACCTAAGGAGGCGCTCCGCATGGGACTGGGGGTGGGCTGCGGCTCCTTGCCAAGCTGTCCCTCCATGACCTGTGCTGGCCCAGCATCCTCTTCAGAGGTTAGAGCTAGGAGGGTCGAGCCAGCAAACCTTTCTCTCCTTGCAGATGTTGGAGAATCATGCAAAGTTGTTTAGGGGTGTGTGTGTGTGAGCCGATCAACAGGTCATTGAGTTCAGCCTTATTGCGGAGAGGTTCCAGGTGCCTATAATCCCCACCTTGGAGGAGGGGCTGGGGGCTGAGAGATGGCTCAGGACACACTCCTGAAGAATGAATGGGCCTCCTGTGTGGGGGACAGACATGGGAAAGTACCTGGAGGAGGGGACATGAGGAAGCGTGGGGTACCTGCTATTTCCCCATCCCGTGCCACCACGGTACTCCAGGCTCACTCAGGGCTGGGAGTGAGAACTGAAGGAGCCCGGCGTGGCTGAGGAAGGGGGCCTCAGGCATTGGTGAGGAGGCTCAGACAGGAAGAGCAACCCCCACCTCCGTCTCTCCCTCCCACAGACAGCCTCAGGGACGTGGGCAGGAGAGGGTCCCTGCCTCACTGCTTGTGACCGCCTGTCACTGTGGAAGTCTCCAGCTCCACGGGCCCCTAATCAAAGTGACAGCTCGCAGGGAACAAGTGCCCCTCACGGCTGCCACAGGGCTGAGACCTTGTGTCTCAGCATGGCGTAGAGCCTGGACAGCGAGTGTCTAGGAACAAAGGAGTGTGTCAAGGGCTCCTGACATGTAGCCTAAGCCTCCGCGAAGTAGGTGTGCCTCCCTCCACTTTCCCCCAGGGAGCTCCGCTCAGCCGCACCCTAAGGGCTCTCTGCTCTTTGTGGAGAGGGGCGCACTGGCCCAGTCCCCACCATGGGCAAAACTGGAAGAGGCGTTCAGGATGGCTGACAGCCCTGACGTGCCTCCCCTCACCCCACGCCCAGCTCAGGGGCAGTTGCTAGCATCTTCTTGCTGGTTCCATGTCTGCCTCCCCATCTAGATTGTGAGCGCCCAAAGGCAGGCCCCGGGACGACTCACTGGGTATCACGGTGTCCTGCACAGGCGGCACAGGGCTGGAGGGGGAGGTGCTAGACAGACAGACAATGGGATGGACAATGATTTAACAGGGCGGATTTAACAATTTAGACTGGAGCACCCAGCCTCTCCTGGAGACCCCAAACCAACCCAGTGCTGAGGAAGCCAGGTGTGCGGGAGGTTCCCACTCCTCTGGGCAGCCTGTCCCTTGTTCTGGAGCTGTGGTCTTTTCTCCTCACCCGCCACGGGCTCTCTCCACCTTGGCATGGTGGGGTGGGCGAGGGAGGGGCTGTTGCCACAGAGTCCGCTGCCCAGGAAGTAAGGCCTAAAGACCCTGTATTCTGAGGGGAGCAAGGGCTGGACAACGCCCTCGGGCTGCACGCCTGGCCTTCACCACCCAACACGGGCCTCCGGTCCTGCTTCCCTCTCCGCAGGGAAGATAACTGAGCGTTCTGATAACTGAGCTGCCGTCCACACTGAGGCCCCAGCCAGAGGTATCCAGGCCACTGCCCTCCCCCGCGGCCCCCACGTCGTCAGTCACCACATCTTGGCTGTTCTCTACAGAAAAGGTCCAGAATCTGTTTCTCCCTCCCATCCCCCTTTCCGTCTCACGTACCCCCAAGTCTCACCCATCCCCCTCGCCAGAGACGTCTAGAAACACTAACTACTGCTCAAATCACATCAGTGATGCCCATCACCTTCAGAACAAAGGCCAAAGCCAGTCTGGTGGCAAGGCCTTCGCATGTGGTTCTTGCTGTCCCCCCAACTCACCCCAACTCTCCCATGCACCCCGCATGCCCAGAACACACCCAGCAACTGCTCACTGTCCCCGGAGAGCCACGCGCGTTCAGGCCCCGGCATGTTTGCTGTAGGGGCCTGCCTGCCTGGCATTCCTGTCCTCTCCGGTATCCACCGTCACCGTCCCTTCTCTGAGGCCCTCCCTAACTTCTTGTGTCAATTCACCTCTCCCTCCTCTGACTTCTCGAAGCATCCTGTACCGGCCTCTAGGAAGCCTGTTAGTATCTTAGAACGAACTTGTCTCCATGTGTAGTTATTTTGACAGCTCTTTCCTGACAGGCAGATATGACGCCTTTTAAAAACATGACTCCCCCAAACAGCAGCTTGTACGTAGTAGGTTAATAAATATTTGATGAATTAATGAGTGAGTCTTCAGACTCACACATACCCGCTCCAGAAACATCCACCAGTCAGATGTACGCTTGCTCAGAGTCACAGCCTCCGTGTCCAGCCCTAAATGCTTGGATGGAGGAGTTGGTCGTAGCCACCAGGGCATTCCCCACCTTTGCTTAAGCTGTGACCCCTGCCTGGAATGCCCCTTGTCCTGTCACTTATGTTCCAGGCTCAGCTCCCCTTCCTTTAGGAGGACTTTCCTGGTGTCTCCAGGTAGAACTGCCCTTTTGCCTTTGTGCCCCTCAGGGTACGTCCCATGTGGCAGTGAAACACCCCTCTGCTCTTTTCATGTCTGTCTCCACCCAAAACACACACTCAGTCTTAGGGCAGATGCTGAGTGGGGAAACTGGATCTTATTTTTCTCCACCCTCAGGAGGGGAGGAGACAGTGGGTGTCCCACGACCATCACCAAAAGAACAGGCAGCCCGCAAGAGGGTGTCTGAGTTCAGAGCGCAGCCTCTGGCAAAGCTACCGACCTGGGCTGCAAGGTACGTTTCCAGTGGCCGCCCCCAGGAACAGCGTTAAGTTCCTACCCTTCCCACCTCCCCACGCCAGGCCTGGCTATGAACTGTTTCCCCTGCAGCCAGCCGCCCGGGCTGTTCCTATCTCCCCACGGCCCCTCCGTGCCTGTCAGCCACAATCACCCGCATGGATGCACTCACCCATTTCCCCGCAAGTCCGCCTTGCAGCCAGCTGCCCCTTCAGTGCTCACAGCCAAACCTCTGCAAAGTCACCCAGCGAGGGAGAAGCAGAAGTCCTGGCCGGGAGTCCAGCAAAGGGAGAGGGGCCTCCTGCTGTCCCTCAGTGGGAGTGCTGTGCTCCTTGCTGGCCTTGGCCTTCAGAGACCAGAGCAAGAACCGGGCACACCTGAAGGCAAGGCCCTTGTCTGAAAGACTGTCCCTGCCAGGGGCTCCAGACTGGAGAAATGCTACTTAGGAGTCCTGATCCCAAAAGACCCCACAGGGAGAGCCCCCAGAACCAGACCTCCAGATCCTGAGAGATCCCATAGGAGCGTTGTCCAGATGCGAAACAAAACTTGATGGCATCAGGAGAGCGTCAGACCTAAAGACCCCCTTGAGGGCATCTCAGACCCAAAAGACCCCACAGAGGGAGGCCACAGACCCAGAGCGCCTCAGCGGGGCCCAGACAGAGAGATCCTCCCCTGGGATCAAGCCTAGACCAAGTTTGCAGGAGCAGTGCCCCTCCACACTGACCTGGCCCCGAGGGAGTCTTTCCCAAGCTGAGCTGCCGGAGCCGCCTCTGGTGGGCCCGCCCCCCGCAGTGCACCTGGGCCTGGGCTGCAGAGTTCAGCTGGATGTTGCAGACGTCGCAGAGTGTGTACGACGGCCGTTTCCTTTCCCGCTTGGGCTTAGGTGGCTCCGGGGGCCGAGGGGGGCATTCAGCAGCTCCAGATGTGGGGGGCTCCTTCTCACCTGTGGGGGATGGGCTCAGTGGCCGCTTCATACCTGAGCAGAGAGAGAGAGAGAAAGAAATGAAAGACTCGACGGTTGAGAATATGTACAAGGAGCAGAAGGGGCTCGCGTCCTGGAGATGCCTGGGCTCTATATCCCAGCTGAGACTCCCCAGCTTTTGGAGACTCTCCGCCTAAGGATGGCAAAGGGAGCATAACGGGGCCTATTTCAACCAAAGCAGCATGAAAATATGGGAATATCTGGAAGGGCATCAGAAATGTCTACACACTGGAGGCCAAGACACCTGGGTACTCAGAGGGCCACAGAGCAAAGCTCAGAGAGGGAGACTAGGGTCCTGGAGGCAACGTGGGCGCGGAGGGAGAGACACAGCAGGGAAGTGGAGTCACATTTGGGAAGCCAGAGTCCTGTTCTCAGCTCCGTAGAAAGCACTAATAAGCCTGTGACAGGCAGGCATGTGGCGCTTACTGGGGACACGGCAGCTGCTGGCCAGAGACCCAACCTTCCCGTGCCCTGTGCCCAGCAAGGTGACACTCATAAACGGCGGCAGTGTGCAAAGCCATCCCAACTCCTGCCTTGTGCGGCTCCAGATGCCCCTGCTGTCCTGGCCACCGAGGCTGAGGCAACAATTGGTGGTTTGGGTAGAGACCTGGGCCCTGCTGACTGGGTCTGCTGTACACAGCCAGTGCACACGTGCATGTGTGCACACACACACCTGGACCCTCTCGTCACCCCTCCATGCCCCCCATCTTCCACAGACACTCTTTCCTTTCCAACTCACTTCTCTGGAACATTCTCTGTCTGGCTTATCTCCCTCCAACCAATTCCATTCTGAGGCTGCCCAACTCCCTTTCTCACACTGAACTGTGTTAATTTTCACTTCCTTCCTGAATCTGTGTGTGCTTCCTGCCTCTGCTTCAGATGGGGGCTTCCTGAGAGCGGGGTCAGTGTCTCTCCCTCACACCCGGGCAACCCCATGCCTAGGGCCTGGGCGAAGCGTGACAGCCCATCTCTCTGTTACTAACTGAATTGTATCCCCTCCAAAATTCGTATGTTGAAGTCCTCACCCCCAGGACCTCTGAATGTGACTATATTTGGAGATAGGGTCTATATTGAGGTAATTAAGTTAAAATGGGGTCGTATGGGCGGGCCCTAACTCATATGACCAGTTTCCTTACAAGAGGGGGAAACTTGGACACAACAATTACAGAGGGAAGACCATTTACAAGCCAAGGAGAGAGGCCTTGGGAGAAAGCAACCCTGTTGACACCTTGATCTCAGACTTCTAGTCTCCAGAACTCTTGAGAAAATATATTTCTGTTGTTTAAGCCACTGGGACTATGGTACTTTGCTATGGCAGCCAAAGCAGACGAATACATCTCACCAAAAGGCATTTTCTATGTCCGTGGCCCACACTCCCTTTGCAAATCAGACAAGCCAAGTGATGCCATAATGTCCTTGCAAGACCACACATCCAGTGTGCAGCCCACGTGTGAACAAGGAAAATTAATTTCACAGGTCCACGGCCAAGAACCTGCCTGCAGTCCCTGGATGCCACCCCGTTCTCAGTAAGCCACTTGTCATTTTGTGGGCAGTGGTCCCATGTAACATGTGTCAGTTGTTATGTGCATCGGGGCTATGTGTGGATGGGACACAGGGGCACAGCGATGAAGGGCAGGAGCTTTGTGCTGCTTCACGCCTGGGTCCAAATCTCGGATCTGTCGCTGACTGCTGGGTGACCTGAGCCCAGTTCCCTCATTGTACGTCTGTAAAGTGGGAGTGATCGGTAACAGTTCCTCCGTCATATACACAACCGTGGGGATTAGATGAGCTGATCGCTATAGAATGCTTCTCAGTGTCCTACAAAAGTCATGGTTATTAATCTGCAACTTGCGAGTGGAGTCACCTTGTCCGTTGCCCTGTCTGTCAGGATGTACCTGCATCACTGTAAGTGTCTCTGTGCCATCATTTGTTGAGATGAATCTGTGTCACTCGGTGTGTGTGTCACAGTGTAGCTGTGGCACAGGCTGGGTGTCATTGTGCCCGTACCATGGAATGAGACTGTCACTGAACATTTAAGACTCTATGTGCTGGAGGTTGAACTGTGTCCTTCTCTCAAAATGCAACTTGTTGAAGTCCCCAGCACTTCAGAATGTGACTGTATTTGGAAATAGGGTCATTGAAGATGCTGTTAGTGAAGACGAGGGCACACCGGTCTAGGGTGGGCCCCTAATCCAATACATATGACTAGTCCTTATAAAAGCGTGCAATTTGGACACAAACATGTACACAGGGAGAACTCACATAACATGAAGATAGAGATTGGGGTGATGCATCTACAAGCCAAGGAATATCAAGATTGCCAGCAACCCACCAGAAGCTAGAGGAGAGGTGGAGAACAGATTCTTCCTCACTGTCCTCAGAAGGAAATAACTTTGCCGACACACCTTGATCTTGGACTTCTTGCATCCAGAACTGTGAGATAATAAACCTCGGTTGTTTAAGTACCACCCAGTTTGGGGCACTTATGGCAGCCCTAGCAAACTCATTCACCGTGGGTCTGACCCTTGTGTGGTCATAGGTGCCTGGTGATTTGAGGGTCCCATCCCTGCTGCGGGATGCAGTCTCAGAGATAGCCTCCAGGTGGCGCAGTGAGCCCCCAGCGGAAAGATAAGAGGTGGAGACCCAGCACTCCCTGGGCAGGACCCACCCCAGTCCTCCATACTCAAGGGGCAACTAACTAGGCTGTCCTCTGGAGCCATACCAGGGGTCCAGGGCACAGCTCTTCCCACAGAGGGCACACTGGAGGTCACTCCCATCACTGTGAGAAGGCCCCCCAATGCATATAGAGCCCCCCAGCAATAGTCTGCACCCTCTCACCTCTAGATGGCGGTCATCACAGCTACTCTGCCTTTCTAAGTCTTCCCCACTCCCCAGCAGGGAGAGAGGCAGGAAGGAGGCCCCAGGGGCAAGCGTTGGGGATGAAGGGTCCAACTCCCCAGGGTGGAGGCTTCAAAGGAATAAGATTTTCATGGCCATGCCAAGGAGAGCTGCCTGCCCCGCCAGCATGGTGACAAGGGTATTTTGAAATCTCAGGGCAATTTATGACAGGCGGGCCGAGGACATGGCCCAAGAGAGCAGACAAATATCTGCCACGCAGCTGATTAAACCTCCGTGATATACAGCCTCTGGGCTCGCAGGGCCGCCTGGATTCCGGGGCTAATTGTGTCCCCCCCAGCAGGCTGCTGGGCCTGCCGCGGCCTGCCCTGCCTGACCAGCCTTCCCAGCTGTCCCCTCAGAGCCACACTGCTCCAGCTGAGCCAGTTGGAAACTGTGGTGGGGTGGGCAATTGCTAGAGCGCACACAGGTACAGGCCGTGAGCATAAGCAGGTCAGCCCCCCAACCCTGGCTGCTGTTCAGAGCCAGCATGCCTCACCCTGGCTGCACCTACCCTCGGACAGGACCTAGTCCACACACGGCCTTTAACAGGTGAGAAAACTGAGTCCCAGAGCAGCGCGGTGGACTTGCTTCAAAGTAAAATGGCAAGACAGTGCAAGAGCTGATTCCAGAAATTTCCCTGTCTTCCTCTTCACCACCCAGCTACCTAGGTCACCTCTTCCTTATATAATAACAACCCGGTTTATTGAGGGCTTACCATGTGCCAGGTGCTTTATGCAAAGGATCTCTTTTAAACTTCACAGCCACCCCATGGGGTGGGCACTATTATTAACCTGTTATTCCACTTCGAAGATTAGAAGACAGGCTTTGGGAGGTTTTGCGGCTGGATCTGAACGTACACTTGTCTGACTCAGCCCAAATCCTTTCTCTCTGCCCTATTCCACCTCTCCTTAAAGCCTGGTAAGCCCTGATTTGAAAGGCTGGGTGGGGAGGGGGTTCACAGACTCTGAGAAAGGCTCCTGGGAGGCTCAGGGCTGTGCAACCCCTTTCGGCCTCCAGGGCCAGGCAGGGAGGTGCCACACTGAGGCCAGGCAGGGAGGTGCCACACGCTGGGCAGGAAGGAGTGGGGCCAGAGCCAAAGGGGCAGGGAGGGAAGACAAGGTGAAAGCAGAGGAAAAGAGCATACAGGTACCCATCTGTCTGTCTGGTGGCGATTTTTACAGGAAGTGGGATAAATCTCCCTCTGTTCCCCACCTTCCCTGAGAGATGGGCTGAGGCTGCAGCAGGGAGGGTGGGGGTTGGACCGTGACAGGGGACCCCCCACCCCAACTGGAAGGCAGGCTCACACCAGAGCCGGGAGCTGATGGAGGCCAGGGTTCTGTCTGCCTGTCTTGTCTGTGCCTCCAGCACAGTGGAGCTGGGGGTGAGGTGGTGGCAACACTCAGGCAGGACCCTGGGGTCCCTTTCCCACCATTCTGGCTAGGTGACAAATGCACTTCAGAGCCCTGGGTTTCAGTGGGGTCCTCGGCCACTGTAAGACGGTAAGATCCCCTGCCTGCCCATCCAAAGAGGGTTGAGTGGGGAAGGGCTTTGAAAGCATAAAGTGGGAAGCAGAGGGTTGTTTCAGCTGCAGCCTGGGCACGGGGGTCCTCGGGAAAAGGCTGATTCTCCTAAAGGGCTAACTGGAGAAGAAGGTACTAGGCCTGTCCCTAGCCTTTGGCAGAGCATGAAGGGCTCCCTCACCAAACCCTTAATGAGCCCAATTACACTCTGGCATTTTCTCCCATGTCAGCCACCAGCCACCCGCCCCTCTTCCCCAGCCAGGTCTCAGGCCCTGCTTATGAGAAGGGAGCCTGGCTGGCTGGCCAACCTTGGGCCAGTCCCTGCCCCTCTGGGCTTTGGTTTGCCTTCTTTAAAGAGAAGGGATTGGACTGAGCTAATCTCTTAGGTCCTTTGCGGGCAGAGCTGCAGTGCAACACAGCAGCTGCCTCTAAGGTAGAAGGGGGTGGAGGCCAAGCTGTGTGACGGTGCCTTAGCCTGGGAGAAAGGCAGGGTCGGGAGTGCCTGTTACCTTCTGCCTGCTGTAGAAACATCGCCTCCGCTGCTGGTTGGCTTTACAAATGAGGCAACTGAGGC